TAGTTTCAATATTGTCTCAAACCTTTAATGTTCAGAGTACTTGCTCAAAATCTTGTTGTTTTTTGAAATGTGTGATAATGACATTTAGACCTTCAAACTTTGAATCTCTCTATTTTGTCACATTTTAAATTCAAATTTGAATTAGATCTTTATAATTTGATGAACAATTAAATATCAGATCTAAGTCATCAAAATTTTATTTCTTTTTTATACATCTAAACATTTGATGTGTCATCACTAAGATACTCTTTTCAAACTAGAATATTTGTTCCATTCTTTATTCTCCTGCTGATTTAATGCACAAGATAGTTCAGGGAACTTGTTTAGTATCATATGGAAAATATATGAAATAGATAAGCATTCACCTCTATAGATAGGACCATCATATATAATCTAGATAAAAGTATTTTGCTTTCATGAATGTTTTGAAGATGTGATCATCTGCTTAATCTTTTGTTTGTATATCTTTCTTCAATTAATAATATTTTATCTTAAAATATTCTTAAGATATAAAACTACTTAATATCAAGGAATAAAGTTTTGGATTTCAATTTTTTAATAAAAGTCATGATCATTTGTTGAATATATTAAATATTTAAAACATATAATTGATAATTATAAAGAAGCACAAATCAAATAATAGCTTATCAATAAAATTTCATTCTTAATCATCATAATCAAGAACATCAACAAAAGAGAGAGAGTGAGAGAAAGAGAAAAATATTTTATAGAATCAAAGGTGGACACTTGGATTCTATGATTTCTAAGCTAAATATTTGATAAAACTCTAGGACATAAACATGATTATTTATGTTTTAAAGGATATATTTGCAAAATTCTAATTTAGAAATGGGGGTATGTTAACAATTATTTAGGGTCAGCTTAGGAGAGAAAAGGAAACCCTAGATCGAGAGAAAGAGACATGAGACTTTAGAGAGTTTTGATAGGGGAGCAACATTTGTCTTGAACAGCCATCACCCAAATAGGGTTCATATAGAGCTCAATCCTTATCTTTTCTCATCTTCCATTTGATAGTTTCTTTCCCTTGATTTCTGTTTTATGTTCTCTAGATCTAAAATCTTATTAGCTAGCATGAGTGCCACATCAAGCCAATGATCTACCATGAGTAATGATGCCCAAAATCATGGATGAATGGCTAATGAACTTGGAGGTAAGGCTTGAGGGTGAGTGAAGGTCTAAGAAACACATTAAAGTCGACACAAAGATTTTCTATGGTAGAACAAGACATGATTAGTTTGGCCCAAAGCATCACTCAACTCTTACAATAGAGGGATGAGCAGCTTGAACCTAACCAACTAACATCAACAACATGCATCGAGGAACACCTATTTTCTAGGGGTGACAAAAGAGGTGGCTTAACGAGATGAATGCCATTAGCCAAGTTGGAAGGCTTCATATAGTATTAATGAAGTGCAGAAGTTAACAATAATGACCATATGCCATTCAACCTGAAGGCTCATGATTTGACGTAGGCTCCAAGCTCAAGTAATGATCAAGAAGTAGGGAGAGTATGACAACAGTTAGATGTTCCTATATTTAATGGCATTGATCTAAATATTAGATTTTTTCAAACAAAACTCTACTTTTTAATGAATCAGCTATTGAAGGGTAGTAGTTATTGATATTAGGAGTCAATTTTGAAGATGAAACTCCAGTGAAATTTAGATGAATTGAATCCAAGAGATCATTCACATCATAGAGGGATATCAAGACCCAACTACTAAAAGGTTTGGGTACTCACAAAAGTGTAGCCTATGTGAGCAGTTATTAGACATCCAGTAATGAAGCACTATCGCATAATTCAAAAAGGAATTCTAATTGTTGGCAAGATCAATAAAATATTTACTATAGAAAGTTTTTGAGGGCACCTTTATCAAGGGATTGAAGATGAAAAAGCAAGTGAAGAGCTTGAATAGCTTATCATATTGATGAGAAGAATTGAGCACTAAGTCTATTTTGGGAGGGAGTCAAGGTGAAACAATGTTGACTTGACATATATTGTAGAACTAAACCTCTTGATTCTTCTCTTAGTAATAAGCTCAATTGGAGTAAATGGGGGAACTATCTCATCACATCAACATTCAATAAAAGGCTATGATTGACAACTATGAGCATACCACCCAACCATGACTAAAGGGAGCAAACAATAAGGTGATTGAACCTTATTAAGGCTTAGATCTACAATCAATACTAGAGAGTGTTGTATTTCTCATAAGACAAGAAGTTTGGGTAAGTTATGCATGCAAACAAGAGTTATAAATTATGTCAATTCATGAGGATTAGAATGGAAAACCAGTGATTAGTGAACATGGTGAGATAGAGGATGAAAGTGATGTAATAAAAATGACTAGAAATATTAAGTTATCTTTGAATTCAATCATAGACTTGACCAAATTGAGTACCATGAAATTGATTAGTACTTTAGTATTACAAGGTCACAACGTGAGTAGATTATAGGGTCACTCATGATTTTATTTCAACAAATGTAGTGGAATAGTAATAACTACTCGTTCAATACTACTATATGTAGTCATTGACAATGAAAAACCTATGCAAGAGAATGATCTTGAGTATGAGAATATAATTGGCCAGGCCTTGATTTTTCTTATTTTTCCTTCAATTAAGTGCGACTAAAGAGAGCCAAAAAATACCCTCTAACACTTGAGTTTTAGAGTTTTTCCTCTAAGTTGATGCCTTCTCTTGAACCTATAAACATATTAGGTCAGCCCTCTCCATAAAACTTGAGTTTTTTCTTAGGTTGAAGACTTTCAACTCATAAGAGTTTGCCTAAGTCTTTGTAATCAAATAATTACAAGAATATATGAGAGAATCACTACTTGACTTCATAAAAGTTAAGTGGGATTAGTCTCATATATAAATAAAATAAATAAAATAATATATATTAAGACTTAAATAATAAAATATTATGAATGTTATAATGAGTCTATAACATATGTATAATTATATTATCTACTCATTAATTAGCATATATATATAAGATATTAATACATAGATGTAACTACTAATTTATAATTATCAAAAAGACTTGTGAACATCATTTAGATGAAATGTTATTAATTCTTGCAAAGCACTAACTAAATACAAAGAAATATATCTTTTAAAAGTCATAGATTTAATATTTGAGACCTTCAATGTCAAGTGAAGACATGAAAACATATAAATGGAAGGTAGCAACAATTTAACAATGGTCAACAATAATCAATCTTTGAGAGTTCTAAGATTTTTTGAGTTAGACCAAGTATTATCAATGGTTATGATGAGATAAAAAACTATCTCTAAACCAATAACATAGTTGTGGAAAAATGACATGTTTCATTGGAATGAGGAAATAGAGGTATTTCAAACACTAAACTGTGTCATGACATCACTCTCAATTTTAGGTTTGCATGACTTCTCACAACATTTTGAAGTTGAGGTTAATGCATTAGGTCATGGCCATGGAGTAGTACTTACTCAACAAAGGGGTTCATTGTATATTTCAGTCAAATGTTATCTACATGAAATAGGTTGAAGATTTAAGACTTATCCATGCAAATAATGAATACTAGGAATGAGTAGCCAAACTTATTAGAACTTACTAGCTATGATTATGACATTAGAGAATCAAGTGAACAATGGTGGCCCTTAATCATTGTGTTAGAAGATTTATAAGTCAAATTCTAAAATTATTTTAAACAATAAATTTAGTAGATTTAGGTCATCTCCACAAGGACCAAGTTTCCACAATTGCACTCCCTTATCTCTATTGACTTATGAAATAGAAGATATGTTATTTTTAATGTCTAGATTGCCTCTAGACCATACCACTAATTCATGTTGATTTGATGAAATGGAGTAGATGATCTCTAACTCAATAAAATATTAAAAAGGTAAAACAAAATATTACCAAAAAACTATGATTGATCTTATCATTTGTGTCACCTCACAAGATGGAATCAATCAAAAACTTAAAATGAAATATATGAATTAAAAAACCATAATAAAATAAGGGAGAAAATATTAGAAAATAACATTGAGAGATTTGGAGGAGAAATCAACCTATGAGGTTAATTAAAAGGAATTTCAAAAGAACTAGAATCAAGAAAGAAAGTACTAAAAAATTGAGAAATTAGAATCACAAAATTTAACTTGAGAATATGGGGCTACCCATACTCCATGTCACTTTGGATAATAAAACAACATTGACCAATCATGAGAGATCTTCCTTTTTACCCTAATATTTTCCTTTTGATTGAGGTGAAAAAGGCATGAATCTGTTACCCTAAATCTCTCTAACAAATAGCCAAAAAAGCTGATCTAATATGAGAAGGATTCAAATGTAATAACTTGTTGTTCTTCCTTTCCATTTTTCATGAACTTACTATTTTGACCTAGTTGGTGTTGCTTTAATGGTTGACATATGAGCTTGCTGACTTGTCAAAATTGTGGATTAAATTATCTTTTAATGTTGATGTGGCTAAAAGGGCCTTTATATTTTGAAATGTAGATAATAAAAGTGTACTCTAAGGAGGATTTTCTATAATTATTTATGATAGGTTGAAGAGAGAAAGAGAGATTTTGGATCGAGAGAATATGATATTGAGACATTAGGGAGTTTTGATGAGAAAGTAGTGTCCCTTTCAAATGGGTGTTACCCAACTAAGGTTCTCATAGAGCATGATCCTTCTCTTTCTTCATCTTCTATTTGAGGGCTCCTTTCCCTTGATTTTGGTTTTACCCTCATGCAATCTAGAGTCTTATCAATCTTATTATGAAAGTTATTAAAAGTCATAGAAGTCCAATGGAGAGGAACCCATTTATATCAAATAAGACATTCTTGAGCTTCAACTTGACATCAAATAGGACATTACTCAAGTATCTTCCTTGTGAATCTGACAGCTAAATCATCCTAATTTTAGTGTTGCTAAGAGATACATTGTTCGGCGGGAAGGCCGAGCGTCTGCGGTGCTTCGGCGGGAATGCCGAGCGTTAGTGGCGCTTCGGCGGGAATGCCGAGCGTCGGCGGCGCTTCGGCCGGAATGCCGAGCATCGGCGGCGCTTCGGCGGAAAGGCTGAGCGTCGGCGGCGCTTCGGCAGGAAGGCTGAGCGCCAACAGCGCTTCGGCAGGAATGCCGAGCGTCAGCGGCACTTCGGCAGGAATGCCGAGCGTCAGTGGCGCTTCGGGGGAAGGCCGAGAGTCAGCGGCGCTGGAAACGGCGCGACGGCGGCGGGGAATCGTCGGGAAACTCCGGGGGGGCCTGTGAGGAGCTGGGACTGGATCTGGCTCATTGGCACGGCAGCAGAGTCTCTCCTGATGTCGGCGGCAGGTTGGCATTCGTCGGCGAACGGCCAGCGAATGGGCAGAGCGGCGGAGGGCGGCCCCGGCGAGTTTATGGTGGAGTTCCGGAGGAAGAGGCGGCAGTCGAACCAGGAGTCGAGAGACTCTGGCGGAGTGCTCGGCAATGGCTCGTACGGAGGCGACACGAGCCCCTTTCGTCACGACGGCGTGACGGGGTTCCAGCAGAGGCGGCAGCGGTTGCAGCGGCAACCGCGACCGTTTTGTCCGGTGACGGCGGCGATTCCACGGGCGACAATGAAGCTGCCCGGTGGCGGCAGTGGTCTCCGGCGGCAGTGGAACTTCTCAGGTAGCAGCGTCACGAGGAACAAAGTCCTCAGGGTATCGACGGCCTTCCTCTCCCTCCTTCCCTCCCTATTCTGGGTCACGAAGAAGGTATCTCACAAAAAATGCGGCGCTCTCTTGAGGGGGGGTCCTACCTCCCCTTATATGGGGGCCCACAAGTGGGCTAAGGGGAGGTGGGCCCACTTGAGGCCCTCAAGCCCATAAGCCACAAAGGCTACAAAAGGGGCTTATTGGGCCTCTTAAAGAGAGACCCAATTAACTCCCCTAAAAGGAGAAAGAGGAGGGCCCTCTTACGGTGCTTAAGTGGGCCTCCAATGAAAACCCAAATAAGTCCCAAAAGAGGCCCAAAAGGAAAGACACATAGGTCCCCCCCCCCCCCCTCTAGGTTGTAATTGGGCTTTAAAGAGAGACCTAATAAAACCCTAAAGGAAGGGAAACATAAATAACAACACACACATAGAATTAGGCCCACTAACACAAATGTGAGGCTTAACAAGTCAACGTGAAAATACAAAGAAAGATAAAGGTGAGCTTGAGCTTGTCGTCGTCATAGAGGTAGAATGTCGCCGTCCCAAAAGGCTAGGTCATGTAGTGAAAGCCAAGCTCCTTCATCTTTGCATGTCGATCGAGTTGAACTCGGACTGTCAATGTCTCATAAGTTGATGGAGATGAGTCCCACTCGCCATCAATAGGGTTTGAGCAAACATCATTGTGCTAACAATTCCCAAAAGCCTCCCTAAACTCTATAACATCTAATGTTTTTGAAAGTAGGCTTCACTAGAAGTTCGATATCATTCTTTTTGGTCCCTAAATAATTAGATGAATCAATAAGAAGGGGTGAAAATTGATTTATATTTTTTGTTTAATTGAGTATAAAATTATTTATTTATTTTTTAATATTTTAATTACATATAATATATAGAAAGATAAAATAAATCAAGAAACAATTGACCAAACTCCTTTGACATACACCCACTTTTGAGGAATCTACCTTAATTTTGCTTGTATAAAAACAAATTTTGTGAGCCTATGATCACTTCTCCTAGAATCATAACCCTTGTAGCTTTAGATGTCCTTGTTGGAGGCATGTCATAAGTGCCTCAATGACCTATGTGATTGTGTTCACAACACATTATAAGTATCAATCAGTCCACATATCACAAATTAAAATAAAAGCAATCAATCAATTAAGAACAAAGTACCATAGCCTTCAACTATCATTTCATGCACAATGAGTTATTAAAGAACTTTAGTGTAGGGGTGAAAGAGGAGGTGTTTGAGACTCCAACTGGCATACATAGCTCCCTTAAATTGATTTGAGTTTTACCCTTAAATCTTAAAGATTTAAAAAGAGGTGATAGAGAAGATGAACATCCTTTGAAGTAGTGCTACTGTTTGAAAAAAAAATGAGTATTTCCTGATCACCCTAATTTGAAAAAAATGCCATTTTTTATTGTCAAGTTAGGCTACCCCCTTTTGACTCTTATTGGGTCAAATGGTTTGGATTAGGCAGCCTTAGTACATTATTTCTGAAGAATATAGAAAAACAATTATAAAGTTTGTAAAACTCACAACTATTTCAATATTTTGAATATTGTTTGCAGCTTTCAATTTTGGATCCCTTTTTGAATTAGCTTTGCATTAAATAGTTACATACTTCTGTTTGTAGCATATTTTCTCAAATAAAAATTAATTTTTAGTTAAATATTTCAGTTTTTTAGACTATTTTACCTTTGGGAAAAAAATCAGTAATTATGTAAAATCAATAAAAAAATCAATGTCATAACAATTTTGTCCAAATTTTATTTCATTTGACTCATTTATTATCATATGTTTTTATTCGTGAAATTATTATATACAAAAAAATCAAATATTATGACTTGCACATAGAATGATAATATATTTATTTCATAGACTTTTTATTATAGTTATACCTTGATATTGTGACATTTATACCCCTAATATGGGAGGCTTTGATATCACCGCATGATTGATCTTACCTTAGTTTGTTGTTTAGTGGTTCAAGAAGAGGTAAAACATAAAAAAAAACTATGATTATTTCATTCATATGAAGAGTAAAGGTGAAGTACTCGAGAAAGAGAACATATATAATTAGTAGATATGTGGAAACCAACTAATTTTGATCTATTTTGATAAGGGTTAAATTACAATTAAAGAAGGAAAGAGGTATAATCATAATAAAATAAAATAAAGATAAAAATAAAAACTATATGTTTCAATAACCAAAAACAAAGGAATAAGTCAAAGACATGAAAAAATGAATAGTTTGTGGTAAAAAAAAATTGTAGTGGATGTTTATAGCTCTCTAAGCTTTCTTCTCATCCTCAACAGCTCTTATCCTGGGAATAAGCTCGATTTGTTGAAGAAGTCAACCTAGTCGTTCATCATCATCATCATAAAAGAGAGGGGCAAGCATGAACATAATCAAGCATCACTCAATTGTGCAAGAAAAGAGAGAGAGGGAGAAAGTCAATCTCATCTTGATCTACTAATGTGACTTAGTTGTTGTATAGTAAATCATGCAAATTTAAAATTTATAAAACTAGAAAATTCTAATTTTTAGATATTTAGATATATTTTTGAATAAATACATTAATTATAATTCAATAAAACTTTTAAAAATAGTAGTAATTTTTCAAATCGATTATAGGGATGTAATTAAATATTAAGTACTATTTTAAAATTTTCTTCCAAGAATATAATTTTTTATAAATTTTATATTATAAAATTAAAATTAAAATATATTTAAAATTTATAAAAAAGAGAAATAAGGGAAATAAGGGTGCAGATGTCAAGATGACGTTAGTGCTCGACGAACGCAAATCGGGTGGAAACAGAGTTACAACTAATAATTCTTACGTAAGTGATTATAAATAATTTAATTAATCAAATTAAGATTTATAAAAGTGAAAAGAATCGTAATTAAATGAAGTATAGTTTGGTAAATTTAAATCATATAATTATCACTAAATAAAGTAAAAATTAAGTTGAAAGTAGGAAAATAGAGTTCCGACATTGTGGCGGTAATGCATCAATGATGTACTAGAATTTTGAACATTTGAGAAGATCGTCATATAGTGTCTATGGCCTCGAAGCTCTCCTTGGACAAAGACGACGTGGACAATCTCTAGATCTTCGAATCGTCTCTGACGGCCATCACTTGATGAAGTGAAAAAATAGCGACTTTGCAACTCTCTAGTGGCTGCCATCTGACAGAGAGGAGCTAGATGGAGGTAGGACGCGTGTCAGAGAGTTTCATCTTCAAGTTCACATAGTAAGAGGAGGCTCTTCATCACATCTAGTATGCTTTTAAGAGGTGGTGACTCGTCTTCTAATGGATCGTCCTCTTTTCGACGACGTCTTGATTGTCAATCAATCAAAGATGATTTACTCGATAGATTTACAATCTTTTTATCATGAATTGTTTAGTAATTTTAGTAATAATACTCTGCAAATCGTATTGATGAGATTTTTACTGATGATCTAGTGATTTTGATGACTTAATCCTTCACTGACGATCTATAGGAAACTTGCAATAATTAGATAAAAATATGAGTTTTAGCTTTGGGAGGATTCAAATCTATGCTAATTGTCTGCTTACAGGAGAGAGATTGAAATAAGTACTCTAATACTCTTATCAATTGATGTCATCATGGTATATCTCTATTATAACGAAAAGGTAGTTTAGGTATTCAAATCTTCGAACCCTTTTGAGAGAAGGTGTGACGCGGGTTTAGTCTCACATTGCTTGTGCGCCGAAGTTTTAGATGAATATATAGGAATATTATATTTAAAAGTAATGAGTTATTTTCTCTTATGTGTATGACCACTCATTGCCTCACAACTAGTTAGCCACCAGTGATGTGGAAGGGGAGTGGCACACATGTGCTCACCTCCATCGATCTTAATTGCTCGAGCTTTTACTCATGGCTCTCCCCTAACTATGCTTCTAGACCCACTTGCGGGATCAGTTGATTGACAAGTCCCCCTCTATTTTGCTATATTTTATTTGAATTTCTTTTTCTTTATTTATCTCAAAAATAAGATAAAAATCATATAAATTTATAAAAAATCACATAATTAGTCAAAATTTCACATTAATCAACTGAAAACTACTTTTCACACTGTAACACAAATATGTCTATTTATCATGAGTTAAGGCTAAAACTATATCATTTACTAATTATTAACTCATGATAATGAAGACTTATCATCTACCTCAATGGCTTGTGGTCTAGGAAAGGCTAGAAGTCTCCTCAAGTGCCTCTCTACTTGAATCAAGAGGAGAATGGAGATATAAAATAGTTAGGAGGAGGGGACTAACAACTATAGATGAAATTCATATAAGACGAGTACCTCTTAACGACTGTGGCTGGCTTAAAGGGCTTTTAAGAGAGAAAGAGAGGGAGAGCGAGAGCAAGAGAGGGATAGTGGTTGACATTTATAGGACCAACTGGTGAGGCAGGATAAGCAGCAATGAGACCTGAGAGGGGGAAGTTACACACAAAGAGGAGAAAAAATAATTTCATAAAGGTTCCTAAGTTGCTATCACACCCCAGCCTAAATTGTGTGAATATGGGGAAACTTGCTCTTAGGCTATCACACCCCAGTTCAACCTCATTGCACAGAGGGGAGATGAGGATGAAGGATTTAGGAGAAAGATAAGCACACGTACGAGAAAGAGACAATTGAGTTACGACCTCAAAAGCGATGAGTTGCAACCAAGTGATCACTAACATCCTAGGGGTTCAGGTGGAGAACTACTAGTAGCTTCAAGCCGCTGATGGTAGGCAGCAGATAGAGAGGAGCTGGACAATGCGTGGATTGTCGAGGCTGGTGCCAGAAGCTGAAGGAAGATCGGGGGCAGCGGAAGAAGGGAGCTGGGTGGACAAGAATGATGAGCTGGGCACCAAGAAGCCTCTCCAAAACCGCCGAATACTTTTCTTCACCAATGAGTAAGGTACACTCTCTTAGAATCTAGGATGAGGAAGACCCTGCTCGACGTCTCGATGCATTCTCCTTGAACATCTCAAATCACGCAAGCTGGCACTCAAATTGAACATCTCGATGCCTTCTCATTGGGTCTCTCTCTCTCTCTCTCTCTCTCTCTCTCTTAAATTAATATTTCTATATATATGGTTTAATGTCTCCTTTATCTCTCAGTCATATCATATAAATAGTAATAGTTTGTGTGCTGTAATTTCTATGTGACATAATCATATAATATGAGGTAAGCATAACTCTCTCTCTCTCTACACTCCTTGTCTTATTTAAGGTTTTATTTCTCTCAATTATTTAAAGTGACGTATAACGATTATAAATAATAGTAACAATTTCTGAACGTAATTTTTTTATTTGATAAATGTCTCTAAGTCTCCCCTCTCTCTTATTGTAAATATCCATAATTGAGAATAATACTTATAGTTCGTATGGTGTAGTTACAAAATACGATATTGATAAGTTATCACACCATCTCTCTCACCATCCAGATATTAAAATTTATTTATTAATTATTTTATGTGATTTAATTTTATATGATATTCTTGTAAAAATATAAATTTGATATCTTCATTAGCGTTGGCTCCCTACGAGCTTATACACCTTCTGGGATAAATCAATTTCTCTAATTATCCACAAAAAGTGACAGCCCCGGCCATTTTTTATGTTTATAAATCTCTCTCTCTCTCTCTCTACACACACACACACTCTACAAGGATATGGACTCCAGCTGGTCAGGCGAAGTTATCCACCGAAGGGCTCCGGGGTTAACCGAGGTCAGCTTGTCGGAGATGAAGCTGGTCCGGGATGTGGACCCTCGATGATCGGTAAGGACGTGAGCTGGCGGGGGTGAGGTGGGCTCGAGCATTCTTTCTTTGAGATTTTGATGCTGATTTTGGGATTGATTGGGGAGGATTCTTCGAGGGCTAGGATATCTACCTAGTTTCCAGAGATTCCCGAGAAATCCGTGGGGATTTCTCCGCCTTGAAGGCGAATGATACGTCTTAAAATGTGGAGTTATACGAGGGCCAAACGGACAGGATGTGATCAAAATTATCATAGAGATGGGTTGTGGTTCTTCTGGCTATTGAATTTCCATTATTAAAAAGAAAACCAGGATATCCATTATATTCACAAGATGATCATAATGTCAACTACGACGAGATATATCTCATGAACACCCAGATGGAGATAGAGAGAGAGAGAGAGAGAGAGGAAATAGAGATTTACGAAGGGCAGACTGGCAGGATCTTAGATCAAAGTTCCTGTGGTGATATGCTGCGTTTCTAGTGAGGGGATAATGGCCCTAAATAGCGAGAAAATTTCCTTAGTCATTATTTTCGCAACAGGATGATAATGATAATCACGACGACGACAACGCGTATTCGCGTGTATAAGAGATCTTGTTTCCTTAATTTCTCGATACCCAATTACTTCGAGGCCACCTCATCCCACCATAACCTCTCTGTATCTCGCTCTCTCCCCTCTCCCTGTTGAAGCCAATTCTATAAGAACACCTGCAAAGGGAGCTGACTAAAAGCCAATTCAAGCACGTCTCTCTCTCTCTCTCTCTCTCTCCCCCTTGTCCGGAAAACTCAGAAAAGGATACCCATCTCCTCTCCCGCTATGTCAAGAAAGAAGGTCAAACTCCAATGGATTGCCAACGACGCCGCCAGAAGGGCCACCTTCAAGAAGCGGCGAAAGGGCCTGCTGAAGAAGGTGCAAGAGTTGAGCATCCTCTGCAACATCAAGGCCTGCATGGTCGTCTACGGCCCTTATGACCCTCAGCCGGAGGTCTGGCCCAGCGGCGGCGACGAGGCGGCGGCGCTGCTGCGAGGCTTTCGCCGTCTGCCGGAGCACGAGCAGAGCCGCCGCAGGCTGGACCAGGAGGGCTTCCTCCGCCTTCGTGCGGAGAAGATGAGGGAGCAGATAGAGAAGGAGAAGAAAGCTTCCAGGGAGCTCCAAGTAGAGCTCCTCTTCGCCCACTGCCTCAACGGAGCCCGCAAGGTGGAGGATCTCCCCATGGAGGAGACCACCGCTCTCGCCTGCCTTGTAGAGATGAAGCTCAAGGAGGTCAATGCCAAGCTCGACTCTCTACGCGGCCAGCAGACGAACTCCACCGGCGGCGGCGCTTTGGCTTCTCCTATTGTGGCGCCGCTGCAGCCTTTACCGCCCGTTGACTTCCTCCCCGAAGGAGGAGGAGGAGCCTGCCAGAGGCTGCCGGAGTTGTACATGGCGGCGGCGGAAGGAATGAGGAGGCCGGACTGGATCATGGAGATGATGGTTCCTTACAGTCATCTGTTCTATGACGGCAACTACTCGGCTCCGGCATTAATGGACGACGGCAGGAGCTCGTGGACGATCGATCCTTACTTTCCCTTCCACTGAGTCAGCCGAAAGCTTCCACAATCGCCATTTTCAGAATCGTGTAAGGAAAATAAATTTTCCGAGCCTTCCATTTAAATGCTTCATGATATGAATTTGTTACCTGGATTGTATGTAATCGACTCCATGTTTTATAGAAAACTCTCGTATCCAAGAAAAACTAATCTAAATCATAAAAAGGAGCCTCTTCGATGGATCGAGTCAAAAACGTAACTTGAACATTCGTCTGTGGTTAGAGCGGGCCTGAAATTCAGCCCGCGTAAGTATAATCTCTTTTTTCGCATGTACACCTCTCTCTCCTCTCTCTCTCTCTCTCTCTCTCTCTCTCTCTCTCTCCCCTCCCTCCCTCCCTCTCTTTGGCTAATAGTTGCACATGGAAGGCTCACTTTCGCTCATGAGGAATTCATTTCGGGTGATCCTAAACACTTCACGTTGATCCTCTAGAGGGCCAGCTTTCCTACCTGACTCAAGCAGGGCCCCGACAGGCCCGCAAAGAACTCTAGTTATTAAGATCCCAGAGCATTGAATTATATCCGCAAAGGCCCAATGTAGATCAAATAAACCTACTTAACCCCCCCCCCCTTCACACCCTCAAAATTCACCATCCTCTTGAAAAAATAACAATCTATTATGTAATTAGAATGACATTCTTAAGGAAAACGTTGTCAATTCTAAATAAAATAAAATTTAATGTAATTATTTTTTATTAATGTCCTCATATAAATGACAATGCTAAGTTACATAAATTTTTGTTTATTTATGGAATGGAGGGTGTGACTATGTGATATTCTCTTCAATATACCTTCACATTTTGATACCTACTAGCGAGTGGAGCAATGGTAGTTGGAGAGGGTGGAATGAGCTTGCTAAGGATATTGTTTTAAGGGAGAGAGTTACTAGATAAGCACAGTACTTGATTCCATGTCTGGATGCAAAGAGAGGGGTGATATCAGTTGAGCTATTGTTATGCTAAGTTACATAAAATTTTGACATATTCATTTAATGGAAAATAATCTTATTTTCTGCAAATAATCCTTAATATTTAGGGCTAATAAAACCCAAGAACTATTTCTAAGACTTATATGATACTTATGGAAAAATTTAGAAACAAGCTACAAATGCTAAGTGGAAAGGAGGGAGGTCACTCTTAGAGAACTAAAGGGCATGTGAAAGAATTAGGTTCTAGAGGTGGTTGGAGAATTGTGATAACATATGGATGAGTGAAATGGGGTGAAAAGTTGATTGTGTGGGAAGAGAGAAGAAATTTCTATTGATGAGAAGGGTTAAATCTTAAAATTAGATTAAGTTTAAATGAAGAGATACATGTGTTTATATAGGTAAGAGAACAAAAAAATAATGGGCCCAAGTGGGCCACATAGAGGAGAATGTCTAAACATCTTCCTTAAGCTAGAGCATATAAGTCAAACAGGCCTAGATTGGTACATATAACATCATAGGACACTTCTAAGACTCTTAGTGAAGATGTACATCAATTGATCAGATGAAATGACATGTGGTATGGAAATAACCTATGTTAGAACCTTGTCACTGATGTAGTGATAATCAATTTTTTATGTTTTTGGTCTACTCGTGAAATGTGAGATTTTCAGTGATAAAGATTACTACTTGGTTATCATAGTACATAGGCATAGGTGTCTAAGGAGTGACACTTAGGTTCTCTAGAAGAGAGCAAAGTTATATCATCTCACGTGCCATATCAGCCATAACACAATATTCAACTTCTATAATAGAATAAGATACCATCTTTTACTTTCAAGAATGTCAAGTGACTAAGTTGCATATAGAGGCTTCAACATGTAGGTGACCATGACATTTGTTGATGAACCTCTTTTGTAGAACCCCTACTCTCTCCTAATGAGGCTCCTACACAAACTAACTAAAAACACTAACTATATGTACAATGATAAGATGAGTAACATTGAGATATATCATTTTTCTTAATAATCACCAATGGTGATTAACATTCTCCATCAGAGGTAAAGTAATATCCCAAAACTTCAAATGCACCTTTGTAGGTGATGACTCTAGTTTGCAAATAAGAAGCCTTATTTCTCGAAAAAAGGTTGAAAGTATATTTCCTTTGAGATAAAGTTAATTTACCCAACTTATAAGCAAACTCTATCTCAATGAAGTAGCACAGTGTCTTTAAGTCTCTTATGACAAAATGTTATTACAAGTAGGCTTTGGTGGCGATATGCTTGCCTCATCACTCTCTATCATAAGAATGTTATCAACACACACGATCAAGATGATCATATCTCCAGGTGTGATCTTCATTAAAATAGTGTAGTTAACAACAGAGTGAAGTCGAAGATAGTAAAAAGGCCATTGAACTTTGGAAACTAGGTTCGATGACTCTACTTGAGTCCATAGATAGTATGGTCCATTAAAATCTGCTCATCTAAGTCACCATAGAGGAAGACATTAGACATGTCCAATTGGTGAAGTGACTAATCACGATGCACCACCAAGGAGAGAAAAAATTAAATAGAGTTCAGCCAAACCATAAAAGAGAAGATCTCCATGTAATCAATGGCATAGGCTTGAGTGAAGTCATGAGCAACCAAGTGAGCTTCGTGATGAACAATGGAACCATGTATATTGTATTTTAATATAAAAATTTACTTGCATGTCACAATGTTAGTATCAGTAAGACAAAAGACAAACTTTCACGTATCTTAAAAAATCAATACTTTGACCTTTAAATTTATAGTTGCTTTTCAAGTAGGGGCTTGAAGTGCCTTAACATGCAATTGTGGAATTGACTTAAAGGCCACGAAGAGGACAAATACACAAGATAGGGGGAAGGCAATCATAGGAGACAAAGTAATATATAGGATGTTGAGTGCAATAATGTGTACCTTTGCACGATGTAATGAAAGGATGAAAATCATTCATAAGTGGCATAAGAGGGTCAGCTAATAGAGTAGTGATGTTAGGTGAGGTAGCGAAGATAGAGCTGCACTCAGAGCAAAGGCATCATAAAGACATAGGCAGTGGAGGGTGCCAACAAAGAAAGAAGAGATAAAAAAGGAATAGAAAGATCTGTGAGAATGATGAAAGATGGAAACCTAGGGGGTGGAGACACAGATGAACAAGAAGATGAAGGAGATGGAGTAAAAAAAAGAAAATTCTCATGAAAGGTAACATCAAGGGAGGTTATATAGTGACATATGTCAAAAAGTATATCTGATAAGTCTTTGGAGTGCACAAGCAACCCACAAAGACACCTTTCAAAGCACTAAGAGTGAGTTTAGAAAGAGATAGCGAGTGGTCATGAAAGAAAGTGGTGCAATCAAAAATCTAAAAAGGAAAAGAAAAAAGAAAAGCGTTGGGTATGAGACACTAAAAAGAAATGTCACCACCTAATAGAGTAGAAGGAATATGGTTTTGGAGATAAGTGGTTACTAATAAGTCTTCATTATTATGAGTTAATAATTAGTAAATAATATAATTTTAGACTTAACTCATGATAAATAGACTTATATTTGTGTTAAAGTGTGAAAAGTAGTTTTTAGTTGATTAATATAAATTATTAACTAATTATGTGATTTTATATAAATTTATATAATTTTTATAGTCTTACTTTTAAGATAAATAAAGAAAATAAAATAAAAAATAAAAATATAGCAAAATGGGAGGCATCTACTGGCCAGTTGGGCCCGCAAGCAAATTAGAAGCATAGTCAAGGAGGAGCTGCGAGCTGGAGCTTGAGCGACCACGACTAATGGTGGTGTGTGTGCGTCACTCCCCTTCCATGTCACTAATGGCCAGCCAATTGTGAAGTAAGGAGTAGTCATGCACGTGGGAGAAAAAGACTTGCTTGCAAATGTAATATTACTATATATTCGTCTAAAACTTTGGCGTACAAGTGATGTGAAACTAAACTCGCATCACCTCTTCCCCATAAAGACTTCGATAATATTAATACCTACAATACCCCTTATTTATAATAGTGATATACCATGATGATGTCATTTGATAAGGGCATTATAGTACTTATGTCAATCTTTCTCATGTAGACGGACAATCAACATGGGTTCAAATCTTCTTAAAGCCAAAATTTATATTTTTTATCTAATTATCGTGACTTTCCTGTAGATTGTTGGTGAATGATTAAGCTACCAGAATCACTAGATCATTGGCGAAAATTTCGTCAATGCAATTCGTGGAGCATTGTTACTAAATTGTTAAACTATTTGCGATAAAAGGATCATGAATCTATCGAGTAAAATATGTTCAATTGATCGATGAACAAGCTATCATTAGGAAGAGGACGATTTGCCAGAAGACAAGTCGCCATCTCTTGAGAGCATACCGGATGTAATGAAGAGCCTCCTATTGTTGCGCGAACTTGAAGATGAAGTTCTTTGACACATGACTCACTTCCATCCAACTCCTCTCTATCGGGTGACAACTACTAGAGAGCCACAAAGTCACTATTTTTTCACTCCGCCGAGTGATAGTCGTCGGAGAGCGGCAAAGTCATCATTTTTCTGTTTCACTAGGTGACAATCGTTAGAAATGATTCGATGACCCATTTCATTGATCTTTAGACTTTGTAAGGAGACCTAGAGATTACCCATGTCGTCCTTGTCTAAGGAGAGCCTTTGAGGCCATGGACACTGCACAATAATCCTCTCGAATGCTCAAGATTTTGGTGCATCATCAATGCATCATTGATACATCATCGTCACGACATGGGAACTCTGTTTTCTTACATTCAACTTACTTTTCACTTCATTTAGTGATAATTTGTGTGATTTAAAATTTTCAAGATATTCAATTATAATTCTTCTAATTATTACAGATCTTAATTTGATCAATTAAATCATTTGTAATTGCTTACGTAAAAATCATCAGGTGGAACTCTATTTCTGCTCAATTTGTATTCGCTGGACGTTAACGTCATCTTGACGTCTGCACCTTTATTTTCCTTTTTCATGAATTTTAAATATATTTTATTTTTATTTCCTAATATA